CAACTCGATGGCGATGTGCAAGCCATTGATGAGCGCCTCATATTCGGCCACATTATTGGAGGAGGGGAAATAGATGCGAACCATGTACCTCATGCATACCCTGAGGGGGGAAACGAAGACCAACCCTGTGCCGACGCCTTTCTTCATCAGCGATCCATCGAAGTACATCGTCCAGTACTCTTGGTCGATGACTGCTGGCGGCATTTGGACCTCGGTCCACTCTGCAACAAAATTAGCTAGCACTTGGGACTTGATGGCCGTCCGAGGGCCATATGAAATACCTTGACCCATCAGCTCGAATGCCCACTTGGCGATTCTTCCCGTGGCATCCCTGTTTTGGACGACCTTACCGAGAGGGAAGGACATCACGCCCGTCACTAGATGCGAATCGAAGTAGTGACGCAACTTCCTTTTGGCGATGAGGACGATGTACAGGAGCTTCTGGATTTGGGGGTAGCGGGTCTTGGAATCGGACAAGACCTTGCTAATGTAATATATGGGATGCTACACTTTGAGGGAGTGTCCCTCTTCTTCTCGCTCTACCACTAGGGTGGCGCTGACCACTTGCGTGGTGACCGCGATGTAGAGCAGAAGCGGTTCCCCATCAGTCGAGGGGGACCAGGATCGGGGCCTTCGTCAAAAGCTGCTTGACCATGTCAAGTGCCTCCTAGGCCTCGGTCGTCCATTTGAAATGGTCAGCCTTCTTTAGGAGCCGATAGAGGGAAAGACCTCATTCATCGAGGCATGAGATAAAGTGGCTGAGCACGGCGAGGCACCCTATAACTCACTGTACCCCTTTATGTTCTGAATCGGGCCCATCCTCGTGATGGATGAGATCTTCTCTAGGTTGGCTTCGATGCCACGCTCGGAAATAATAAAACCTAGCAGCATACACCTTGGGACAGCGAGCTCTTAGCCTGCTGCGCCGCCGCACGCTCGAGTAGCGTGTGAATCTTGCGATGGGCCCGATGATCCTCGAGCGTCGCGGGCCTCGGAAGCCCCCGGAGCAAGGCTGCCGCAGCAGCGATGTTCTGGCTCGCCCGGGTGAAGTGTGGGAGGGCTTCATCATCCTCGATGATCCTCTGGTTCACGTCGTGGGCCATGATGCGCGCACGCCCACCATCTCTATGGCGCTCGATCTCTCGCTCGAGCTCCGCACGTTCCTGCTCGAGCTGGAGTCATGCTTCCTCGAGCTCTTGGTGCCAGGCCTTTAGCTGCTCTACCCGCAGGCGAGGTGATGCCCTGCATCCCTCATGACCTCATCATCGAAGTCATTCATTGGGGTAGGCTCTCCCTCATGGATGCTTTCGACGTGTCCCTTGGAGGTACCTATCATGAAACATTCATGAGAGGGATGATGGCTCCCCCTGTTGGAGTCAGAGCTAGAGGGCGACTCCGATTCTCCTACGAGGAGGTCGTGGAAAGATTCCACGACATATTCAGTCATCCCCACAAACTCGTCGTTCACGGGGGATGGAGGAGTGCGTTGCGCTACAAGGTGGCCAACGGTCTCTGCGGCGTTGTGGAGACCGGACAGGAGCGCTGTCGGGGCACTCCGGATGAGGTATTCCAGAGAGAGCGGCTCTCCTCCGACATGCTGCGCCATGACATTGGCGAACGAGAAGGTGAGGTGGCGCAGGTCCTCCTGGGATGGTCGGGGTCCAGGAAGGCGCTGAGCTGGCGCTCTAACCTCCCGTTGTCAAAGCCATGGAGCTGGTCACTGCCGGGGGCGCGGGCCTCTAGTGCGTGCAGTTCGCGATCGGTGATCACGTCGAGGCCGGTGGAGTGGAGAGGTTGGACGGCGGTGGGAACTTGCGCCAACTCTCCCTCCGTTGTGACGATGAAGTCTAGGTCCCCAAAGTGCTCGTGCGCGCCCAGGATCTAGCTGACGCCGTGACTGGTCATCCGAGACCTGAAGTGGACGTTGAGACATTCAAAAGGCCCCTACCTGGCGCACCAACTGTCGGTGTTTCGAGTTACCACCGACGAGTAAATTTCTAATATTGCGCATCTGGCTCGGATGGTGTGCTTAGAGGACACGAGGTTTATACTAGTTCAGACGGAAAGTCCCTACGTCCAGTTCGTTGCTGCTGCTCATGTTACTAGCACTGCAAGTTTGTAGTTTGGGGTACAAACGGGCGAGAGAGGGACAGGTCCCAAGTCTCTAGTGAAAGGAGTGAAAGGGTGCTGAGAGCTCGGTTGCTGCTCTTGTGTGTATCTGGATCTGATCGGTTCGGGGTCGGATCGGATCGGTCCTCGATGGGTCGATCCCCTCTATGGGACGCCCTGCTTTTTCTTTTATAGGCCAAGGGAAAGCACGTGTTACAGCAGAGGAAAAAGAAGAATGAGAGGGAGAATAAGTCCTTTAGGATCGTCGGATCCTTCTTCTCCTTCATGCGGGTCCTGCCGACCCTGTAGATGTCAACAGGGGCAGCTCCACGTCACGGCCCTATCCGTCACTGGCGCCACGCGCAGGCGTCGTCTGCCGGTCATGGCGTTCCATTTCGTCCTAGCGGACGTCGTGATGAACTGACGCGCCTGTTAGCGTTCGTACGATGGTTAGGTAGAACAACACCCACACGCCCAACGCTGTTCTTGATATGAACCCTCAGATATGACCCGTCGTGACCACGGGTTACATCGGGGCGTGCCGGTCTCTTACTTGGTGTTAGAGTTTTGACCTAGGCCCATATGCTTGGACCTGGAGTGGTTGGCGGCGGTATGGGTCTCCGTCGGGCGAGACGGAGCCCGCAACCCCGGGGTCGGGCGAGGCGGAGCCCACCCCCAGGGGTCGGGCGAGGTGGAACCCGTAGCCTCGGGGTCGGGCGAGGTGAAGCTTGCGCACTTGGGGATCGGTTGGAGCTGTAGTCGCGCTCTTGACTGCTCGGATGAATCAATGTTGATGATCATTAGCTTCCCTTCGGGTACCCTAGTATTGGTCTCCGACAACTATTTTAAGTGGCGTTGCGGTAGCTTAAATATCCCTTAGGACTGTTTGGATCCTTTCATTTGGTGAAATTAAAATCTACTTAATAAATTAGGCTATTTAGCTTGAAATTTGATATTCCACCGTTTTCCAAAGTTCACATATAGGCTTATCTCAAATTCATATGGTAGGAGATAGAAATTGATTCTATAGATCATCGTTCTATGTTTTTACTTTATAACTTATGACACGCTCTTCAACTCACTCCTCTATAATAGAAATGCAACACATAAGTATTTTTATGGTATAGCCAACAATAATATACAATACACAATCATATTATCTTAATTAATATGTGTCTAAATTATGACTATTAAATAAATTGAATTCTAAGAATCTAAACGGGCCTTAGTGCTTCGATTATATAATAATAACTATACATCGTAATGTCAAATAATACTGCAAAGTCAATTAGGTAGCGACAAATGCAGCAAGTACAATTTTTTTTAGCGACGGTGCAATGCGAATTTGAGGATTTGTCATAGACACAGGTTACTTCTTTTTATACTTCGTCTCACTACACAGTGTAAGCTATGCCAACAATCTTCTTCTACTAATAGGATAAAATATAAGACATAGGACAATATATTTGCAACGAATAGAATATAAAAATATTCATATATAGTCTGCATTATATTCAACTGTAAATCTGTAATATATGGCACATCTGTTTTACTTTAATATAGAGTATATAACACTCAGCCTGTTCGTTTGGCTGTGGCTTGTCATAAACGATCGTAAATTTCCAGCCAGAATATTATTTTTCTCTCACACAAACTAGCCAGCAGTACTTCGTCACAAACCAGCAACCATACGAACCAGCCAACCGAACATGCTGACTATCTATAACATAGTGCAAATGGTTCAGCTCATGGACTGACAGGCTCACGGTAGACGCGGCAAGCCGGCAACGCCGCGCCCTGGGTTTCTAGTCAGGGTCTGGGTCTTGGGGTGGCTGGGTGCACACTGCACACCTCAACCGGCCTCACCCAAACCGGCCTCACCCAACCAGGGAAACACGGTACACCGACAAGCAGAAGCAGGCAAAGGATCGACGCGGCACGGCGGGGTTGCATGCCCCACGTACCAACAGAAATACTATACAACACCTATATATTTTAGCATTTTATCTATCTCCCTCTCTCTCTCTCTTTCTCACCGGTGACCACCGGCGCCGGCGCCGGCCACTAGCGAGCTCGCCCCGGCGCCCGCGTCCGTGCATCTGGCGCGTCTGTTTCTTTCTGGTTGGCCTAGCCGTGTACGTACAGCAGTAGCAGACCAAGTAGCTCTTCTGATCCGGTGGACCTCTCCCATATGTCTGCTGTGTAGCAGACCAAGTACCTGGCTCAGCTAGGTGCCTGTTTAGTTCCCAAAATTTTGCAAAATATTTGAAGATTTTTCATCACATCGAATCTTTGACGCATGCATTAAGCATTAAATATAAATAAAAAATAAAACTAATTACACAGTTTAGACGAAATTCACGAGACGAATCTTTTAAACCAAATTAGACTATGATTAGACACTAATTACCAAATAACAACAAAAAATACTATAGTATCATTTAAAAAAAAATCACCAACTAAACGAGGCCTATGCCGTAGGCAGGGCAAAACACATACAGCATGCGACTGCTGCGTGCCCCGCGTCCCAAACCCCGCCACCTGACGCCTGACGGGCCACGAGATCTCGTCAAGCGTGATTATTCGTTCCATTTCCATATAGGCAAGCCTTCCAGTCGCTTCTCTCCCTGCCCAACCGAAGCACGGCACGGGCGCACGGCAGCTCCTGCACCCGCCACGCGTCCGCCCGCCCTCCCACCCATAACCACGTGTGCGTCGAGGTGGCCCTCGCCTCCCCGGCCCGCTCCTATTATATCCTCGTCGAGCCCCTCACTAAAGCAGTCAGAGATTGAGGATCACCGATCACGGTCCCCAAAAGCAGCGGCTCTGTCACCTTCGATCGCGAACTGCACCAGTTCGATCGGACCAAGGTCGCGTCGACGTCGACGGCGATGGACGCTCTCACGCGCAAGCACGTCCCCGAGGACGTCGGCCTCCGGAACACCGGCGAAGGTGAGTTACTCCCCGACCCCGCCGGCCACCGAGCCGATCGCTAGTCTGCGCTACGTACTACGCGTTCTCTCTTACCTTACTCTGTGATACTGCGCGTGCAGTGGAGGACGAGGGAGCCGGGGGCCAGGCCCAGCTGCACCGCGACGAGAAGCAGCACAAGCCGGTGCTGACGAAGGTGAAGGAGAGGATGAAGAAGATCAAGAACACCCTCGCCGGCCACGGCCACGGCCACGACGGTGAGCACGGCGGCGGCGACGAGCGCATGGGGGACGCAGGCACCGGCACCGGCCGCGGCAGCAGCAGCAGCAGCGAGGAGGCGGAGGAGGACGCGGTGGAGAAGGGCGGCTACATGGAGGACGTCGAGGACAAGCCCGTCGTCATGGAGTCCGACCCCGAGGTGCACGGCGCGCCAAGTAAGTGCTCCCACCTGTTCACCGGCTCCGCGTGCTAGGCTGATTCGGTTGCACGTGTGCTTACGTGTCTGCGCGACCCGTTTGCAGTGTACGACTCGGCGAGGGCACCGGCCGTGCATGACCTCGTCGCCAAGTACGATCAGCCGGCGCGCACACCGGCCGTGCAGGAGGTGGAGGGCGACGGCGCCGAACCTAGGGTGCGGCCTGGTGATATCGGCGGCCCCGTCGTCGAGGATCCGGCCGCACCGCGCTCCACGACGCCCGCCGCGCGAGGTATGGCACACGCCGAACGCCACTCGATCATGTCTTTTGGCACTCTGCTCGTGTTGCCCTGGCACTTGACACGTTTCCTTTTCGTTGCAGAGGGTGAGGACATAGGCACGACGCCCGTGGTGCAGCAATTCGAGACGATGAGTTTGTCCGACGACCCGGCGCACGTGGGCGCGGGCAAGAAGGGCGCCAAGGTAGAGGCGGACACGGTGGGCGGCGCGGCCGGTGGCGCTAGCTACACGGACAGGCTCAAGAACGCGGCCGCCAGCAGCACGGAGTACGGCAAGAAGCTAGCGAGCACGATGTACGAGAAGGTCGCCAGCGTCGGCACCGCTGTGGGCGTGGGGAAGCGCGACGACGAACAACGCACGGAGGCGGTGCCGGCGTCGAACACCGCCGGCGCGGAGGAGTGGAGAGACGCCCCCGAGGCCACGGACACGGACACGACGAGAGGCGCCGGGTACACGGACAAGATCAAGTCGGCGGCCGCGGGCACCACTGGGTACGGCAAGCAGCTGGCGTCCACCGTGTACGCCGGCGTCAGCACCGCCGTCGCGCCCAACCTCCGTCCGCAGGAGAGCTCGGCGAAGGCGGAAGGCGCACACAGCGAGGCAATGCCGGTGTCGGACACCGGCGCTGAGGAGTGGAAGGACGCCCCAGCTGCCACGAACGCGACCAACACCGCGTCGGGGCCGGAGGGCTATACGGACAAGATCAAGTCCGCGGCTGCTGGCACCACGGAGTACGGAAAGCAGCTGGCGAGCACCGTGTACGAGAAGGTCGCCGGCGTCGGCACCGCCGTGGCGGGCAAGGTCCAGCAGGCCACGCAGTCTGCCGGCACGGCGACGCCCGGGCCCGGCGTGCAGCAGGACACGGCCACCCCCGGCGCCGGCGGGCAGGACAAGGGGCTGACCGTCACGGGGTACATCGCCGAGAAGCTCCGTCCGGGTGACGAGGACCGCGCGCTCAGCGAGGCGATCTCTGGCGCCGTGAAGCGGCGCAAGGAGGACGTCGGGGGCACGGTAGCGCAGCGCGTGCCGGCGCCCGGTCAGGTGATCACCAAAGCGCGCGATGCCGTCACGTCGCTCACCGGCGGGAACCGGGTCTCCGAGACCGTACAGCCAACCACAGCCACAGGTACATTGGAACAATAGAACTACCTTTTTTTTTTGCCAGAAGGAACTCACCATTAGCAAAGCTGACGAGAGACGGGTTGCAGGGGAAGACGTGAAGGAAGGCTATGCGACGGAGGCGCCTGTGATCCGCGGGGAAGAGATCGGCAGCGCGAATCTGAACACGAATACCATGTGAAGTGCTGCTACTAATGGAGTCTGGAGAGCACGGCTGCTCTGTGTGATTATTGTGTCAGGTTTGTGTACACGTGAATGATGTGGTTTGCGACGTGGAGCCGAAGCTGGAATAAGCGTGCTGGTTGTGTTCGCCGTGGTGCGCTCTGGTTTTACATGTTCGTGTGATTGTGTATCAACATTTCCACAAGTTGTTGTATGTATGTATATGTATATGTTGAAAAAAATGTTCCGTTTTTGTTGCGTTCGTACAGTCGTACTTGTCGCGTGCTGCATCCAAATGTTCTGTTTTTACAGTGCTGGCAAATAAGAGCCATCCATCTAGATAGATTTAATAGATCTGATGGTTTTAAAATAGTAAGAACCACTACCGATGAACTTAAGTTATAGCCCAAAATCTTAAATATTGCTTGCTTCCTGAATGGTCAGGAACTAATTTAGTTGTTGGCTTGTTTCCGGAAGGGTACCAACACGGCACGAGCATGTACAACCTCGTCATGAAGGTTTTCGCCGAGTGTGGGGAGGTCAAGGCGATGTGGCGGCTGTTTGAGGAGATGACGGAGAAGGGGTTGCCTGTCTCTTCCCGGACGTTCCACCTCTTGATATGTGCATCTGGGAAGGTTGGGTTGAGGCGGAGGCTGGTGGAGAGGTTCATCAAGTCGAGTACTTTCAACTACCGCCCATTCAGAAATGCGTTTAATGCAATATTGCACACACTTCTGACCATAGAGCAGTACTCGCTGATTGAGTGGGTTCACGAGAAAATGATCCTTGAGGGGTACTCACCTGATGTCTTGACACACAATGTGGTGATGCGTGCAAAGTATATGCTCGGGAAGTTGGATCAATTCCATCGGTTACTTGATGAGATGGGAACAAATGGGCTTACGCCGGACCTCCATACTTACAATCTGTTGCTTCATGTGCTTGGTAAGGGAGACAAACCCCTCGCAGCTCTCAATTTGCTGAACTATATGAGTGATGTTGGGTGTGTGTGCCAAATGTGCTCCATTTCACAAATTTGATAGATGGTCTTGGCCGTGCTGGCAACCTATAAGCTTGCAAGTATTTCTTTGATGAGATGATCAAGAAAGGGTGTGACCCAGATGTTGTCTGCTATACTGTTATGATCTCAAGGGCCAGTTTGGATGCCAAATTTTTTGGCAAAATGCTACTGTAGCGTTTTCGTTGTTATTTGATAATTAATGTTCAATTATAGTCTAATTAGGCTTAAAAAATTCGTCTCGTGGATTTCGTCTAAACTGTATAATTAGTTTTATTTTTTATTTATATTTAATGCTTCATGCATGCGTTCAAAGATTCGATGTGACGAAGAATCTTGAAAAATTTGGTATTTTGGGGTGCACCTAAACAGAGCTCAAGTTATGTGGCAGCTGGGGAATTTGAGGAAGCCCAGAGGTTTTTTTATGATATGCTGGTGAGAGGGCAGCTTCCAAATGTGTACACATACAATTCAATGATACGGGAGCTTTGCACAGTAGGGGAGTTTGATAAAGGCATAAAGCATTCGCTATGCTGAAGGACATGGACTCACATGGATGCACTCCAAACTTCTCTGTGTACAGTAGTCTAGTAAGTAGACTGCGGATTGCTGGGAAGGATACTCAAGCTAATAATGTCATTAAGTACATGACAGATAAGGGTCATTATCTTCATCTGCTGTCAAGGTTTGGAGGATTTAGAAGATGGTGAGATGAGATGCTCTATAGTTAGATAGCACCGCCTCGCCCGACCCTTGGGTCTGCACTAAGCCTCGCCCAACCCTAGGGTCTGCGCTTCGCCTCGACCGACCATTGGGTCTGCGCTGGGCCTGCGCTCCGCCTCGCCCGACCCTTGGGCCTGCGTGTGGCAAAACCGCCCAATCTAATGCCTCCCAGGAGTACTTGTCTTCCATTAGGCACTAAGTACTCAAGGAAGGACAATAAATTACGCAGTTCCGTCGAGCACACCACAAGGGAGAGCCCAAAAAACCATATTTTTCATCAGGATCACAAATGAGAGAATAAATCTTACAACATTCTTAAGTCATTTCTTACATCACTTTCCATGCAACATCAGAGTATAATATTTATTGTTTATAACAGCGGAATATACCCATGCTATCAGAGTTTCAGCGGAAATAAAATCATTTAACGACAAGTTAAACATTAACATGATGATCTGTTATATACATCATAACAGGTTATAAGTTTTTCATTGTAAAACATTTTGGGTGAAAGTTTCAAATAAACGCTATGCCCAGAACGTTAAGGAAATCCTCGTTGAGCCCACTAGGAGGTTTCCACACACAAGTGTCAGCTCCATATGTTCCTGTCACCTACAACAGGGTAGAACAAACCCTGAGTAATCAATTGTACTCCGCAAGACTTACCCGTCAGGAGGAAAGAAAAGACTCCAAGGGTATACAAGGCTATCTGGCTTGTGGGTTTATTGCATCTGCAGGAGCATTACTAAACGTGCATCCTTATATTCAATTTTATTAGCAATCATCATTAGTTCATTTACTAACCATTCTATGTAAGCACCTATGCTACTTTCAAGCAGGTGGTAAGCAATCAGGACTATTTTACTATCTTTCATCTTCTAGTTCTTACTACGGTGCCAGATTGCAGACAAGTCGTACCGGATTACCCGGCGATTCGCGAATCAATGTAGCCCAGCTGGGTACCCCGAAACACATGCCCCGCTTGTACCCCAGACACAAGCATGACCAACCCATCACTCTCCTATCAAGAGGTTCAGGTCCCCATCCAAACTTGGACTCCAAGCCCCCACACCTGAGTCTCGGACTCAGTGTGGTGCTTAGACCTCCACCATCCCCGCCTCCAATCAGTCGGTCCGGAAATAGCTGAAACCCACGACAAGAGAGCAAGGAGCCTTCCCTGCTCCCATAAACAAGTATGTGCTCAGGATAATAAGTATGTGACCTGACTAGAATCCAATGCAACAGACGGTCCTTAACCGACATAGGCGGAACAAGTGCAATCCGAGCCTCGCTCGAATGCCAAACCAAGTCTAGATTCAAAGTACCATCCCGCCCGGTCTCTAATTATCATTCATATATATTCCATGTGATAGTAATATAATAACAACAATAATATCTTTCCTATCTCTCGCGTGTGACAGGCAATCACTCGACTTCTACTGGAGTCTTGTAGCATAGCAATCTACACGATCATGTCATACTAGTAGGACCCATGGGATAAGTATATATATATATGCAAGTGGGTTTCATTCAACTCCTTAAACTTAATGCACAAGCATAAATTAAAGTGCAGAATAATAGAGGTATGCACCTGCCTGGGTAAGATATAACCAAAAGTTAGCATTCCATCATGGTGGCACGATCATCAAGGCACCATCTTTTTCGCTACTTCGGTCATCTCCACGATCCATCGTTGTTCCTATTATGATATACGTGGATGCAACGCGTAGATGTAAATAATCAACGACAACAGAAACTCTTAGAAATTCAATTACGCCTCACAAGCTAACGAGATAGCGCTAACATGCTAGTCTACGTATCCACGTCGTCAAGTAAGGCTCGTTCCCGTAAAATGTTTTCGTTCTACAAACCCCTAATTATTTTTGACATTTGATTAATTAAATATATATATTTTCGTCCTAGGGCTCATTTAGTTACCTTAACAACAAATTCCTATGGAGCTACAAAAATTACGGTGAGCACCTAATATTGCTAGGACTCTACTGTAAAAATTTCAGAGCCAACATTATCACCAATTTATCACAACAATTCCTATAAATTTATATTTTGACAATATTAAGTATCTCAAAGTAATTATATAGCTTCTAAGAATATTATAAAACTATGTGAATAAAATATACTAGCAGATAGATCATGATTTTAGGATCCTAACAAAATTGGTTAGGTATTTTTGTGATTTTTCTACACTTTTTGGTGAATTTAGAAGTTTTCCAATAGAAACATAAAAGAAAACAGTTTCCTGTGGAAAACAAAAGAAGGCCCGCGGCCTTGGTGGCCTGGTGCGACGGCCCAACGGAGATCGGTGGCCCAACGGACGTGCCCGCAGCTGTGGCCCACGTGGGGCCGAGGGCCCAAGCGGCCGGGGCGCCGGCCAACGGCCCAAGTGGCCCAGCAGACCCCCCCTCCCCGCTCCCCACTCACTTTTGTGAAACCACCCCTGAACTTTCTCAAAACTAATCCGCAGTACAAGAACACTATTCCTGTGACTCACGGTTTTACATTGAGAACCCGGGAAAAGCTTCTATTCAACTTTTCGGTCCTTCTCCTCACCTTGAAGCAGAGCAGAGGGTAGGGGCGTGGCGGATTTGGTGCAGCGGTCGACGGAGACAGCGGGGCGACGCGTGGGGGCATCAGCGGCCTCGCCCGCACGCGTGGGCGACAACAGCTCGGTCGGCCGCACGCGTGGGCGGCAACAGCTCGGCCGAGTGTGGCCGGTGAAGCACCCGCCATATGCGGCAGCGGTAGGGCGGCGGCGGAGGCAGACCGGTACAGCGGCAACGGCGCTGCAGGCGATGGTGCCAGCTGGGAAGGAGCGCCGGAACACCACCAGACTCACGCGGCTCTGAGGCTATGCTCGGCTTCGACCGAAGATGGCCCGAGGCCATCCGGCTGCACGCGTGGGCAACCATAGAGGTGATAGCCCGGCGGCCACGAGGAAACGGCGGTTCCAGGCAGCACGGACTCTGGCGTGCACGCGAGGGGTATGGAGAGGAGCGAGGCGAAGGGGACGGTGCAGGCTATCGAGCACGCGGAGGGACAGAATGGCGATAACAGCGGTGGCCGAGCTTGGGCTCGCGCCCAACATCCACGGCGGACGTAAGCAGAGCATGCAAGGACGACTGGGAGCGCAACGATGGCAAGAGCCCTAGCTAGTGGTGGCCATGGCGGTGGTCAGAGCGAGGGAGAGACCGAGAGAGAAAGAGCGAGTGAGAGATGGATACAGTGCGTGGCAATAGCAGCTCGGCGCCCTCCTTAATGCATCGTAGGATAGGACGGGAGGGGTGCAACAGCGCAGAAAGGACGAGAGTGGGGCCAACGAGGTAGGTGAGACGAGCAGCTGTGAACGCGCGCAATGAGCAGCGGCACTTTTGTTATAATTTTTAAATGGTCTAAACCCCTTTAATTTTACCCAACAAGTACATCACGCAGAAGTCCATACTTCATACTAACCCATAGGAACAAAATATTTAAGCACTTTTTAACTATTTTGCTCAATATAATTCACCAAGATGGTACTTTAAACATAAATTCAAGTGTTTGCCGATTTAACGAAAAGAGCTTATCTTAACGTCAAGTTAGATTTTTAGAGCTCCCACAACACTAGTTAACAACATCTATTTTCCAAAAGTTAATGTTGCATTTCCATCTACTAAACTTGTACTTCAATTTTTATTTAAGTACTAAATACAAGTTATGTTTTATTCTTTATTTATAGAAATTGCTTTTCATGCCAAACAATTAAAACTACTTTTCCTATTTTCGTGTTAGGTTTTCCTTAGCGCATTTAAGTAAACTAACTCACTATATTTATAGATCTACCTCTCAGGCCATAATCTCAGTGCTTAGCGAGCTCGTAGCACCAAAGGTGTTACACTGCGCTGCGCCTCGCTCGACCCTTGGGTCTGCGCTGCGCCTCGCCCGACCCTTGGGTCTACGCTGCGCCTCACCCGACCCTTGGGTATGCGCTTCGCCTCGCATGGCCTCTGGGGGGGGACTCCGCCTTGCCCGACCCTGAGGTCGCGGGCTCCGCCTCACCCGACCCTTGGGTCTACGCTCCGCCTCGCCCGGCCTCTAGGGGAGGACTCCGCCTCGCCCGACCCCGAGGCCGCTGGCTCTGCCTCACCCGACGAAGACCCATGCCGCCGCTAACCACTCTAGGTCCAAGCATATGGGCCTGAGTCAAAGCTCTAACACTAGGGAAGAGACCGGCACGCCCCGATGTAACTCGCTAGGATAGAGTGGAGCACCATGACCGACATATGACGCCTACGCATAGCA